ACACACTGACTGGACACTACAGGACATTAACACTGCACTGAGAGAGAGGGGTTAATACAGTCCAGACACACTGACTGGACACTACAGGACATTAAAATGAGTTTGACAGAGCAAGAAGAAAGAAGGAAGAGAGGTAGACAGGTCAGACCTTGTAATCGTTAATTTCCTCGTTAAGGATCTCGTCACAGTTTGGAATGTTCTCGGGCTTCTTGGCTTTCTCCAGCTTCCGCCTCAGCTTGGAAATGTCCTCCTGGAGGAAGAGGTCATCAGGGTCGTTAACAGCCATAAAACAGAACCAATCACTGTGATCAGCTAGTGTCCCTGATCCTCACAGGTGTTAATGGCCAGATAGATCTTTACGGTCATGAGCTTAACGCGCTCCTTTTAAAATCTGCCTCTGTTACCACAACACAGAGTGGTAAAATGTGCACACAAGGAACGTTTGTGTGAGGGAAGAACAGTTGAATCCAGTTTTATTATCAATTTATATTATTTTTTTAAAACTGACTTGATTTAAGGAGCTATAAATGTAATCTATTACTTTAAACCAGATTATTGCTCTCAAATTACAGGAGGCAGCTCTCTATGATAAGATATCTGGATATTAACAGTGTTTGTCACCTGAAACCTGCAGGAGTATTAATGCAGTGCCGTACTAGTCAAGACACTTCATAAGTCAAGGCCTTATGGAGCAATGCTCACTGAGGATGAGGGCTCTACCAGTCTGTGATATCATGAGATACCATGGGAGCAAGCCACGAGTCACACAGTATCTGTTCTTTATAGGGGCAGCTTCACCTCCAAACCAACCCCCTCATTAACCCACAGTCCCCACACAGCCATGCTCTTTCGCTCTCGGCTGCAACATCAGCATCCCATGAGTCACTGGGTCAGCGGGTGACGCCCCATCGGCACCTGGGCTCTCCTGGCGTTGAAGGACTCCTTCTCCCGGGAGATGCTGTTCTCGATGACCTCCTCCCTCACGGCACTGAGTCTGGACTGGACGCTCTCCATTTGAGACCTGAGCTCCTCGGACAGCTGCACGGACTCCACCGCCTGCGGGTGAAAGCCACAGAGCAGGAGCTGCAGTGTAAGCAGTGCAGTGCACACAGACAGGC